CAATAACTTTTTTAGCGAAGTAGAGAGCGCAAATTCCGAGATTTATTCAACTGAAAATTTAATTCTGTGTTCCCGCTCAAATCAAATCAGATCACGTCAAATATATTCTGCAAAAGGAAAGTTTTTTTTTTTTTTTTTTTTTTAAAATTTATGTATGCAAACAAAAATTTAAAAACTTAATTACCTAATATTAAAAAAAGGGGGCTTTTTTTTTCGGTACATTTCTAACTTATACTTAATAGATTAAATATTAGTTAACTGTGTTTTATGCTATAAATCTATACTACAGTAACTTGCTCTATATTGTAATTTAATTTTTTTTAACTATAATTTAAAAGCATGTTTAATAAGCATGTTTAGTTATTTAAATAGATTGAATTTCGAGCAAAGTATATATGTATTATAAAGGACTTTTCATTTACTTAATTTCTTTGTTTCTTGTAGCTTTTAGACATCTAAATCTAAGCTTACAAGTTGCAAAAATTTTCAGATTTTAATTGTTCGTAAAACTTTTATCAATATTGATGCCGAATCAGTTCTGCTAGATTTTATTTATATTGTGTTTTAAATGTACTTATAACAGCAAAGGAAAAAGTGTAAATAATCGTAAGAATTTAATTTTATTAAAGAATCTATTAATTTTGATATATAATATGAAAAAGAAATTGTACTACAAAATTAATGAAGCACGACTTTCATATCTCGAAATATGTATTTTTACTTAAGCGAAGTAACTGTAGTAAATATGTTTATTATTGAAGAATTGAAAAATATAATATTGTTACGAAAAGTACAGGCGCGGTGAGATAGCTTCCCCGCAAAGCAGTTTTAGCATTGCCCTAAAATAGCGAGGAAGGCAGGGTTGCCACATTTGGCGATAAATCGCCCATTTGGCGACAAAATTGGCGATGTGTCATAGACGGATGAAGAACCTTCTGGAACGAATTCTTACCGGTTTAGCCCAGAATGTTCTCGACCACAAGCCGAAATTTATATAAACCCTGCTGGTTCGCAGTCAGTCAGTTTGCTTCATCGAGTGTGCCTCGTCTAGTTAGTATCGAGTTGGTGTCTTGTCTAGCGAGTCAATCCCTGCAGAGTCGATCGATAGCCGGGCGGCGAGTGCCGAGTGGGTTGTTGAGTGCACCGAAATAGTCTCGTAGTGTATCGCGGTTAGTGCATCGTTGAGAGAGTGTGTTGAGCTCTAGAAACGACTGAACCGAAGAGTCGGGAGCTGTGTTCTGTGTGTCGTTGAGTACATCGCGAGTTGTAGCGTGGAGAGTGTCGAGAGTACATGGAGTTCCGAGAACGACCGAGCAGAGTCTGGAGCTGTGCTCTAGTGCTTTGCAGTGAAGCTGTCTCCACCGTGATAGCCTGATAACCTGGAGGCTGTGTCTCTGATCGAGTCAGCGTGTTTATAGTAGTTCATCGACGACTGTAAAAACGTGTTTTGAAGCTGTCCTGACAATAATGGCTAATAAAGTGTGCTTCAATATTTTATCAAGTGTCGTCATTATTCACTCTAGATCAACGAACCCCGTACGAACGTGAAGGAAGAAAATAACGTAACAACTGGTATCAGAAAAAAAAACGTAACGATATTTTAGCAAAAGAAAAATAGTCCTTTTAGTATAATAACATAGTCAATAGTTGACTGTGTAACAGCAGCATGTTACAGCTCTTATATTTAATGCTCTCCACGTATGTCTTAACAACTGAACGTTTTCCTGTAAATTTTAATAAAATGCAAGCGAATAAACAGTATAGTAATATACAAACTTTTTAATGATAGTATTGAAATGTAGTCTGTGATTTTACTTCGGTTTTGTTCAAGTGCTTTCAAATAAAAAGGAAATACGCCAAATTTGCATGATTTCGACAAAATGTTTTTTTCATACGTGGTAACACAAAATGATATGGTTATAAGACACATGTATATTTATTAACAATCTCTTTATAATAATTAATTTACTGGTTATTGCATATTAAAAAGTGAATAAATTCTGCATAATGTCACGAAGGCGTACCATGTTTATCAAATTAAAGTAATTAATGCCGTATTTCAAGAAAAATAGAAAATTAAATTTAAAAAAAATGAAAATTAAATTATTTGTATAAATCCTCGTAATATTTGTGATATGTTTTTTTACATTACGAATTCTTCGTCACGAATGGTGGTTAATTAACTACTGCTGTCAGCTAACTACTGAATGAAATATATAGGTATCGTTTTTTTAATGGCACATTCTATTCAGGTAGTTTAATAATATTCTGGATAATCCCCTTACTGCCAAGATGTACAGTAATTCAGCTAAGTGTGAGTTAAGTCATGTAATTCTGAAACTAAATTCAAATTCGAAGTTGTGAATAGGACAGCTTAAGATGAAAAATATTTCGCCTTATCGTTAGATTAATTCCCGATTCTCTTCCGTAATTTCCTCCGGGAGCCTTAAGTGACTAAAAGGAAAGGAAAGAAAAAAATCTTTTTTTTAATGAAAAAAAGCACTTTATGATCAGGCAAAAGTGCACAGATTATGCTATAAAATTTTTTTTTTTTAAAAATGTTAAAGAAATTTTATTTTCTAATTAAATAAGAAAATAATGTGTGATGTTAATGTAAAGTTATTTGAGTAGTTTTATTGGAAGTAATTTAGCACTTAACAGTTTAGGTGCTCAAGAGAAATTTTGTGTTGAATCTGTTGATTCAGGAATATCCCACAGTAAATGTCTGTCATCTGTGAACAAATCGTTTGACATCTGGTTGTTATTTCTCACTAAAGTATTTTAAAATAAAGGGTAGTTTTTTTTTTTTTTTTTTTTTGGAGGGGGAGTGAAATGAGATGTGTTTTTAGATGCAAAGTGAGAAATCAGTTTTTATTTTAAAAAAATTAACTATCTGAGAGCTTTCAAATTTTACAAGGGACATTTTTTTCTCTGTTTACACACACATACACATTTTGAGAGCATTTGGGCCTCTGAGTTCAAAATATTTAAATATAGCATATCTTTAGAATTTCCAGTAGACAGTTTTGAATGCCCCTTTGGGCTAATAAAAAAAAAATCATGTTTTTAACGTAGCTCCCATTAACCTATTTAATTTTACTTACCCACTTAGTATCCTATTCACTTCCATGCCCAGCTGCCTTAAATTGTTATGATAAAAAAGAAAACATATATAATCATTTTCATAAGTGCAGCTAGTGTTACTTCCTGTGTCATTCTAATAATTAAGAGTTTCAATAGAGATGAAAAACTGCATTTATTGCTTTTAAACTGTTTAGTTTGTTAATCAGTACCAGATATTAAAACAAATTTCAGTAATAGACTATGAGTTAGTATTGTTGGTTTATTAGTAACAGACATACACTGGCATTGTGGAATAAAAATACATTTTATTTTGTGTAATGGCAACATATTTCTTTTAAATAGCTGAGAGTGATGATTAATACAGTCAAAAGTCTTTAATCCGGACTTGTCGGGACTTCGGCGATTCCTGATTATCGGTTTTTCCAGATTATAGATCATCAGTTTAAATCTGGTAAGATAGTATGCAGAAATTATAAAATTAAAAATATGAAACCGTAATTTAGGAAATAAAGAGCAATTAAGATCTAAAGGATATCAAAATTTACGAATAAAAGATTAATATTTATTTGTTTATTTTATTAAACATTTCTTTCAATGTGTGCATGTGTAAAGCATACATTACGCATAGTGAAAATTAGAAAATTGTAACCAGAAAACTATTTGGTGTGTATTCATGATATTTATAATGACGAGGAATTTCATTTAAATCATATCAAAGACGGAGTACATCGAGATGAAATACTACATTTAGTAAGGAATTACAAGCCGAACAAAATAAAAACATCTGTCCTGAAGATAATGATAGCGCTGACAGATCAACTTCCAGTTGATTGCGCGCCGTGACATCTCCCCCTCCGCAGAGCAGCGTGAAATTGATAAACAGATTTCGGGATGGTTAGAGAAACAAAGGATATGCCTTTATCCATTTTTTTGCAGCAATTCCACTTTTTGTTTGATATACATCGAAACATGCTTTCACTTTGTAGATCCTTTGGCAGCTCCAGAATCGGAAATTCTTTTTGACATAATTGAAAGTTCAAGCTTACTTTTATAAAATTGTTCTAACAGTCTGCAAAAAATAATAAGCGGGATCCAATTAGAAGATTAAGGAACAACTTAATCTGCAACATTAACTGAAATAGATAATTTTAGCTTAGCTTATACCGTCCTTTATACATTAAACGCGCATGCGTAAAGGTATTATGCGCTTGTGTGAACGCATATGCGCATGCGCAGAAAGTTTGTAGCTTTGAGCTCTGGATTATAGATCATTCCGGATTATGGACGTCCGGATTAACTGTATAGCACTCTTTCATGACTAATATGACACCAATAGCATATTTGACTGTATAGCACTCTTTCATGACTAATATGACACCAATAGCATTCAGCTGCAGTAAAATTGCGCAGAAATTTTGAAGCTTTGAGGTCCGGATTATGGACGTCCAGGTTAAAGGCTTTTGACTGTTCTCAGTATCCGAGTACTTTAATCTGAAGAAAACTGCAACTTACAAATGCCCATGGATTGCGGACAAGAAACCCCTGTTTCACGATTCTGGTTTAAAGTCAAGCCCTGGGCGAAGTCTTGCAAAATAGGATTGTCTGACCAAATAGTTATTGCAGAGGAATTGACTATAGGACACTGTGTTGCATTAAAACCATTTTAAGAGCTAATGGCCCAAGTTTCTTCTAATAGATGATAGTAACCAATGCCACTGGGCCATTTTAGTGAAAGAAACATTGAGAGCTAAAATATTGTTTGATATCATGCATTCCAGATATGAATTCTGTTGAGATTGCCTTGGGAAGTCTTAGGCAGTAAATTGTGTGCTATGTATATTGTATCTTATATTGAATTTTAATCTTCTGGGTTTAGCAGATTTTTAAATATTGAATTACTCATATATTTCATTTAGGTGGATGGTCGCCCTTTACACGGCTATACAAACCATGATGCTGTTGAAGTATTAAGAAGCACAGGAAAATCTGTTAAGTTACGTTTAGCGAGATATCTTCGTGGAGCAAAGTATCAGCAACTTCAACTGGCTATTGGTAATCTATAAGTTTAAATGCTACTGTGTTAAGATTATTCTGTTTATAACTTTAAATTTAATGCAAATATATTTATATCCAAATTTATCCCTACATGCCCAAAGATCATTGATAATTGCCTTTATCATCACTCCTACACCGCAATGAAACAGAACTATGTGAAAATGGAAAAGGGGAACATTTCTATTTGCCTTGTACATGGAGAACATGAGTACCCAGGCAGTCTTTATGCTTCAGTAATTAAAATAGTTATGAAACTACCAGCATTCAGTGATTTTAATTACTTAGCCATTGAGATACTGAGTGCAAATGTCAAAAGCTTTATAATTTTCATTTCAGAATCAAAGTGATTGTTCTTGTTTTCACAGTTAACAAATATATTTTAACTTGTTTATAAAAATTATCCTACTTTCACATGAAAATAGTGAACATTATTGCATTTTTAACAAATTATGTATGATTTGAAAGTAATATTAGCACTATGAAAAGTATAGATGCATTACTTCAAAATCTAAAGCATATGCTGCCTCTAAATCAAAAACATATTGTAATTGTTCTTTTAAACTGCTTTATTTACATCATTTAAAAAATTTGTTACAAATATAGATTTAGTAGATCACTATGCATCTTCTCTGTGAAAAGCTACATGCAGATGTTTTACACTTAGCATAGGCAGTGTTTGCTTTGATTATACACTACTGAAATAATTTTTATATCATATACCTTATTCCTAAAATTCAAAATCTTTTTGCTATTTCAGCTAGTGGTGAGTTGAGTTACCCAAGTTTACCTACTGTTCAGGCACAAATACATGAGCCAAAGATTGTTGCAGAGGCAGCTAATAAAGATGTTGATGTTAATAATGTAAATCTTCTAATTGATGATGATTATGGTGAGCATTTTCGTCTGTTTGTATTTCGTCCCCCCCAAAAAAAAATCTTAAAAAAAAAAAAAGTCTGGAGTTTAGATCATTCTGAATTTTTGGATTTATACTTTTATTGTATTTGCATTTGTACCCAAGTAAAAACAAAATAACAGTTTATGAAAATATTCCTGATATTAACAGATTAAATGATGATCATTCATATGGATGTTATCATGAAAAGTATTGATCAATGTATATTTTTCCTGTGAGCAAGAGATCATATTCACAGAATCTTACAGAATTCTTATGCTAGGAAATGCTGGCAGGCTGTAGTCATATTATTGTCAAATTGCCAATTTGTAACTTTATATGCATAAACCAAAAATATTTCTTGTTTAGTAAATTTTTTGCATGATGAGGGGTCTCTTAGGTAAGAAAACTACATGAGAACATTAAAAGCATATTTCTAATATTTTGAAACTGACCAACACTGACAAATTATTTATATGGGAATACTTTTAATTAAAGAACATTACATACAATACAAGTGAATCACAAAAGAATAGCACTGAATGGCATTTGAGAAAAAAACAATTATTCTAATTTATTTATAGGCAGTCCTGGAAGGCAAATTGAAGATGATGTTAAAAATCAAAAATTTTTTAATTAAATATCTAGTTCAACTTTTGTCATAAGGGAGTCAAATGTTTTGTGTTTTATTTTTTTATAATAAATGTATAATTTTTTGTCATAATAAATGTCCCATTTCCTATCATAACAGCAAAGTTAAGTCTGGATGTGTTTTGTTAGACAGTTGTCAAAGATTATCATCTGCTTCTCTACAAGGAAAATGCGATTTTACTTATATATTTACTTATATATTTACTTAATTATATATGGTTGATTCTAAAAGCAAGCCTCTGTTAAAATTTTATTAGTATGGTTTAGTAATTTGTGCATGGCAACTATGATGTATATTTAAAGCTACATTACTTACAGCAGGACTATATGTTTCTTCAAAATCAGATTCTTCTTGTTGATACCCCTTTTGCAGCAGCAACCTTCTGCAGCTTTGAAATGACCATCTCTTTTTATATTAAAAATGCTTGCACCACTTAAAATTTTGTTAGTTTCTGCTTCACTTTCATTCATAACTTTCCAAGTTTTATTTTTCTTTAAGACTTTTTCTCTTCTTCAGTAGCTACTGACAATTTTTCTTTATTTTCTCCTGATATTCCTTCCTAGTATAGCAACATTGCGAGGTATCTGTACTTTTCTGGTTGGTCATTTTTACTTCCTTGTATGACATAAAAAGGAAGTATTGAAATCGTGAAAAGTTTTGGGTACCATATTTCAACAAAAATATCCATTTTGACCACTATCGAACACAATTTAATGATATTTTTGCATGACATCTATACATAAGTACAGAATAAAAGACTTTTTTCCCAAAAAATTAATAAAACTGATTTAAAATGAATTCTGAAGAGTTTTTTGTGGTGTCCGTACACGTACATACATATCTTGCATAACTCAAAAACGAGTAGTCTCAAAACATTGAAATTTTGTATATAGGATTGCTATAACATGTAGATGTGCACCTCCCATTTTGGTTGCAATGACTGCACAAAAAGTATATAAATAAATATATATATATATATCCATTGTTACTTGGCTCAGTGAACTCAGTTTCTTTATTCTTATATTTGTACATTGTGCATTTTTTGCTTTAAAAAGGATTGAATTATGTTGTTCTGGTTAAGATTTTTATGCCTTTAGTTAACCTGCATGCAATAATTGTAGAATTATCAACAGTTTAAAGGTTTTTTAAGTGAGGCTAAGCCTAACGTTTGATTACCATAGCAGCCATATTGGTTTACATTTGAAACTTAGCAGAATAGTGGATTTGTTGCCAATCTAGAGAAACTAAGCTTAACAACAGCAAAATAATGTCTTCTTTTATTATTGCGAGTTAAATTATGCTTAATTCATTCTGGAATTATCATTTACGTTATTAGCTTGTTTTTGCATAGAAACTGTAATTTTAATTGTAAAAATTGTTTTTTTAATTGTTTTAACTGAACTTGGCATTTTATGTTTTTCTATATCTTTCAATTTGTATGCCTTGCCACGAAGTGAGAACTGAATTAATTAGTAACACATGCGCATTAGGTAAGCTGCACTGCATCGTCTGTGAAAAACTATTTCTTTTTTATTTTACTTTCTTTTATACATCTTTTTATTATAGTATTTGAATACATTTATTATAGTATTTGAATAAAACTCATGGTAATTCTTCAGATGATATAATTTTTGTGCACTTTGAGTTATAAAATTAATGAGATATAAAGTGTTAAGTGAACATAGCACCAAAGTGTCGTTGTGGTGAATAAATGTAGTGAACTTTAAAGAGTGCATTTATTCGATTGTGGTTTATACGCTGTAGATCAGGGATGTCAAACTCATAGGTACACTTGGGCCAAACAAACAAGGTTTAACTTTAGGCGGGCCGGAATCAATATTCATAGAAACGTAGATTTATTTCGAATAATACAATAATAAACATGTATATATATTTATATAGAAAAGAACAAGAAAAATTTAATGTTTATGTCCTGATACTTGACATCTCTTCTCTGCTATTATCCTTCCTACTTCGGGAGAAATTTTGTTTGAACTGATAACTTTCAATGCTGACCCAAGGTGAGCATCATTAATACGGTTTCTAATAGGAGACTTATTACCTTTCATGACTGAAAATAACTGCTCGCACCAAAGAGTGCTATCAAACATGGAAATAATTTCATATGCGAATTTTCGAGTATTTTCAAACCTGGCTGGTAAATATTTGTAAAATTCAGGCAAATTCCACTTCAATGAATTTTGCTTTCAAATTTGAGTTGCATTGAATCTCGATCACCTCCATTTGCATATGGCTGGGTACTGAGTCAATACTTATTGAGAAAAATCGAAGAAAACAAAACAAAAAAACAAAAAAAAAAAATTGTCTTCGAGGGAACTAAAATCATTAAACCTCGTTTCAAATTCAGTTGTTAAATTTGCAATTTTTTCTGCGTATTTTTGATACGAACAAGTATTATCTAAACTTGATTTGTTCATGCTGCACGTCGGGAAGTGCATCAAATCTTCATTTTTAAGTTGTTTTTCCTAAAGAACTAGTTGACATTTGAATGCTTTATATGTCAAACATGTTCGTAATGATATGATCTTTTCCTTGTACTGATAAATTTAAATCGGTTAAGTGTTTGGTTATATCAACCAAGAAAGATAAATCTTGTATCCATATTGGATCGTAAAACAAACTTACGTCTTGATTTTTCGTTTTTAAAAACTGACATATTTCTTCTTTCAAATCCCAGAATTGTTTGAGAATCTTGGAGCAAGATAACCAACGTACCTCGGTATAGTAGGACAAACCCGAATATTCACTATCTAACTCACTTAAGAAAGCAGTGAATTGACACTGATTTAAACCTCGAGATCTTATAAAAATTTATAACTTTTTTTATATATGACTAAACATTCTCCATATTTATTAATTTCGTGCTTAGAACTTCTTGATGTATAATACAATGCATATGATGAATGTTTGAACCGTGAATTTCACTAAGTTTTTTTCTTAGTAATGCTACGAAGCCCTTGTTTTTCCCGGTCATTGATGGAGCGCCATCTGTAGCTACAGAATTTAATTTTGCCAAAGGCAGATTGTATTTCTGCAGAAGTCCAAAAACACAAGTAAATATATCTTCTCATGGTAGTACCAGGCATCGGTCTGTGGTAGTACCAGGCATCTATATTAGTTCCAGTAATTCCTCAAAAATGTTAAAATTCTTGTCACAAGAATGAAGAAACACTACTAATTGAGCTTTGCCATTAATGTCAGTGCTCTCGTCACGGGCAATGGAGAAACTTTCGAAACTAGGTGATTTTGCTTTGATCTGATCACTTAAATTCGCGGCTAAATCAGTAACCCTTTCCGCAACTGTATTTTGAGACAATGAAATTGATTGAAAAGCCTTCACATTTCCAGGACAAACAATTTCTCCAGCTTTCATTAGGCATTCCTTGATGAAATCGCCGTCAGTAAAAGGCTTCAAATGTTTAGCTATCAACTCGGACAAGACGTAGCTTGCATGTACCGCTGCTTCACTTTCTTGCAATACTTTACTAAACATGGACTGTTGCTTTATCACTCCTATCTTGAGCTCTTTCAACTTTTCTTCTCTCATTAATCCTTCATAATTGTTATATTTCGATTTGTGTTGTTCGTAATGACGTTTAATATTATATAACTTTGGTACATTAATAGTATTATTACATATCAAGCAGATTATTTTATCTTTTATTTCACAGCAAAAATATTCTAATTCCCATTTTACTTGGAATATTCTATGTTCGTCAGCGATTTTTCGTTTAATTTTACTACCATTTAGTTTTGATATAGACATACTGAATATGAATAGAAAGGGCTGGAATAAACATGGTTAACGTTAAAAAGTTAACAAAAATTTATTCTTTCCACAAGAGATAAATCAAAATGCTGAAATACTTCTTCAAAAATATTCTAACAGTATCACAAAATGTCAAACGTTTAGCAAAAATCAATTCAAAACAGAGAAACTAATTCTATCTCACAGTGAAATTGCTACAAATCAATCACAGCATTAAGTAAACAAACAGTTCGCTAGAACTACAGCTACTACTGAGATGAGTTGTTTGTTCTCGGCTTTTATAAGCTTAATAACTAATTTCTCGAATATACTGGAAACATGTATAAATATCTGGATTTTTGTGGATGGCAACAGCAATTACGAGATATTTATTTATTAGGTATTAAATGCATGCGCTGTTCTATTTTTAACTTTCCAACGCAAAATCGTCTACGTTGCTAAGGCAACATGAAGCAAATCTAATTACAATTCTAAATAAAAAAAACTTACTAAATAAATAGCTATGAAATCCGTAACAATATGAATTAAGTAATAAAGCAAAGTGGATGCACATGC